TATATATATAGATAGATAGATAGATAGATAGATAGATAGATAGATAGATATAAGATTTTTAAAAAGCAAAACACATTTTTAATCAAAATTGCACAATACAAACAAAATAAAAAAATAAATTACAAAATAAAATCATAAAAAAAATATTATATTCAAACAAAAAAATTATATCAATAAAATTCAATATTTGGCTATTTAGCTTGAGTCATAGTGCATAAAAGTTCCATCATTAGATTACAATGTATTAATATCTCCTCTCTTAATTTGCTCAGAAAGAATACATAATAATAAAATATCATAGTTTTTTTAATGAATCAACATACACTTGGTAATGTGAGTGTTAGATAACCATTGTTTCATAGTCAAAGTTTAATTAAAACGTCATAAAACATTAATTATACAAAAATGAATAAAATTTCTTTTAAATTATGGTAATATATTAATGTAATCATACCACTTTCTTGAAATAAGCCACCCACTGCAAACTGACCCAACTAGTGAAGAGAGTTGTCCAATAATTCCACTCCAAAGGCCAATATCTTTAGTTGATACACCTTGGTCAACTAGAAATATAGGAAATGTAGAAAGGGCACCTCTTTCTCCTACAAAAAGAAAACAAAAATATTAACTATACTTGAAGAGTAATGCAGGAAAATTTGAAATACTAACAAAATTTGGACACGCCAGAAACTGTTATCTACCTAGGTACCCAACAAAAAAATGTCTAAAAATCCAAAAAAAAAATTATATAACTTAAAATATAATCTTAAAAAAATAACTCTAACGTTTTATATCAATTTTGTATGCTACCGGTTATCTATCTCATCGTACAGGAAAAAAGTGACAATAAAAGAATGAAGTCTATCAGAAGTGCTATATAAAGATGCTGCACTATACGAAAAACAACAACAAAAAATTTTTAAAACATAAATGTTGAGGATACAATGAAATTGTCTTGCCAGAACAAAATTTTAAAAAATCAGCAGTACAAAACTAGTTTAATATAAAGAAACTTAGTTTAAATTCTTCAAACTTTGCTTTTCTATTTGTCTTCCAGAACATAAATTTGGAAAACATGTGCAAGTAATAGAACTTAACAAATAAGTGTTCAACTGCCAACCAAATATTCGGCAAAAGGGCCGAATGCAGAATAGTGGCCAAATATTCGTTTCATCCCTACTTATAAGGACTTCTATAAACAGGATATGTCCACAATATAAATCCTGATTTATATGGAGGACAAAATTACTTGAAATCAAATGTTAAACTATAAATCTGGCTCCCAGAATGTCTAGCTGAGCCAAACAAGTAGAGAGGTCTAGAGCTGTATTAATAGCAACTTACAAATAACGTACCACTGTTATTTTTTATCAAAACACCAAAAATAAAGACTACAGATTATACAACAATGATTATGTTTGATGTATTAATGGTTTTACAAGTTGAGAACCTGTTGTGAGAATTTTAAGAAATATTTTAATTAAAAGAAGAAATCCTACATATATAAATAAATTAGATTTATAAATAAAATGAATTTATAAATTAATTTATATATAAATTGATTGCTTAATATTACTAATTATATTAAGAATTAGTTATAAATAAATTGTAAATATAAATTTTTAATTATAATAAAATTATTTAAAATCAATATGTTTCAAAATCTAATTTAAATAAGTCTACTGAATTAAATTCATTTATTGCTATTTAGAAACATTGCAGACAAATATGTATGAACTCTAAATCAAATATTTTTAATCTTAGCCTAGTAATTATAAAAAAGCAACAAAAATAATAACGTTAATTTATAAATTAATGTTTTTTAATATATATAGTATAAATAAATATAGTCTACATAAAAGTTACATTGAATATATATAATACATTAAGTAGGAGTTATTTCTACCTGAAGTAATTGGGATCAAATCTACTTTGGATAGTAAAAATTTCTGATTACAGAAGTAACAATTTTTGAATCTATTTTTCACAATTATCTTTTAAAATTGATGCTTTTTAATAATATTATGGAATAAAAAATGCTGCCGAACTTTAAAAGTAAAGGTTTTATTGCCATAGAGCTCCCAAATTTTAAGGTCTTTTTTCTCCACTTTTTTTAGTCCTGTCTAATATCTTTGCCAAAATCATTTAAGTGATTTAAAAACAAATATTTAAATTTAATATGACCATTTAAGTGATTAAAAATAAATATTTTAATTTAATATGACCATTTAATAAAATTCATGTCAAACAGGTATAAAGATATTTTACTTTAAAATTTACTAGCACCAGATATTGGTATTCTTTAGCCAAGCTTTATTATTTATTAATAGGTGAAATAAATGTGCCTTATAAAATAAATATTAAATGCATCTGAATATTAAAAAACATTTTGGATATCAATTTCGTTATGCATTTTGCTAAATTCATGCTGTTATGTATTTTGTTAAATTCTAATTTCAAATCATTAAACAAATTAACAAGGTAGCAGAATTACCAAGTTTATAAAAAAGAAGGAAAAATATCACAGGCACTGTCCCCTCAGTAGCAAAAACAAATTTAGGTATCTCATGTAAACTATATTTTCTCTTTTTTTCAATGTTCTTTCGTTGTTCCTCTTTCTCACTGTCACTTGAAGATTCGAGTGGATCTCTAAATCGCCTCTGTCTCATAAGTTCTTCGTGAGTTTCTTCAACAACTGGAGATTTTTTATTGATGGGTTTTTCAGTTTTATCTTTTTCAGATAAATTTGGAATCCAAAAACTACTCGTCATAAGCCTTTGGGTATACAATGGCAGAAAAGCCACAATTGACATAATATACAAACTAGCGAGTGAAAGACATAAATAACTCCAGCCATTGTAATAATGAATCCAAAATAGAACACCACCCCCAAATAAACTACCCAGTTTATAACCAACTACCTGAGCAGTATTACCGTGGCCCATTTCACAGTCTTGCAATATAAGCATGGCTAGACCATCAACAGAAACGTCTTGGAAGGCCGAAAATAAATTTAAGAAAAATAACCAAACAGCCAACAGCCAGAAATAAGTGGTACTAAGAAATATACCCAAGAAGGAAACGATTGTTAGCGATACCAAGCTAATAAGCAACCAAAACCATTTTGTCCAAAACATATCGATTAAGGGTGCGAATCCTGCCTTACATAGCCAAGGAAGCAATAATAACTTCATTAGTGATAGACTCGTATGTGATAAACCAGACGATCTTAAATACATTGGAATAAATTTATCTTGAAAACCATAGGGAAGTCCTTGGACAAAATATAAAACACCAAGAGTGAAGATTTTTCCAATCATGTTGTTCTTTTGACGGACGGAAAAACACAAATCAAAAATAATTTAAAGCATTGCTGAGATTGTTTCGATAAAAAAATTTAAATTAAATAGTAACGTAGAAAACATGTTTTTCGGTCAGTTAATTGACATATTCTTAGATATTGTTTTATTAGTGGTTTGTTGATAAAATTAAATATTTTGTACGCTTTCAGCTGCCTACTTTTGTTACATTTAGCTACCTTTACAAAGTCAACTCTTAGGTTTTATTAAATGACGAAGTCAAAAACAAATCTAGATTTTTATTATTTCATTAATAGATGGCACTAGTAGTTTGGGATTTTCTTTTTGAAACTTTTCCTTCATTAGTTAGAAGGGAAACACAACAAAACAAGATATCTAATTTAAAATATGTTTTAAAATTTTTAAATGGTCAATTAAAAGAGCTTAAAATTATTTTAAGAAAATAAAGTGTATATTGTTTCTATTAAAAAACAGAAAATTATATCAAGTGCCCAATCGTGCCCAGTGTATGAGGTGGAAAGAACGCAAGGACAAGCAGTTATAAAAACATAACTAATAAACATAATTTATGATAACACAAAGATAACTAATGGAAATGCAAAAAAAAAAAAGTTTGCTCTACATTTATGTAGTTTTAAGTGATAAACGTTTGGTCTTAACTAATCTACCCCTCAAGACTATACGGGGTAGAGGTAAGCTGGATTGTATAAATAGTAGCGGCTTTTTTTAAACCATGTTTTAACAAAGTGAAAACTTATTTCTACCTAAAAATTCAAATTTACTAATAATCGAAATTAGCTAAAAAAAATGATAGCTGCTTTATTGCAAATAAAAATATAGTTTGAATAAGGTACTTCTCCATTTCGCCCTAAAACATGATTTGTGATAGCAAGGTAAAGTCACTCGAGAAAAATTCGAGTTACAGAGGCATGTTGTTCTCGAGTACTCGAGAAATGTAAGCAGATAAATAAATAAACACACTTACACACTTTTGATTTATGCACAATTAAAGTAAACGAAACGTAAGACAATTAAGCACAATTTAACTCCGGTTGTACTGTTAACGAAAATGAGTATCTTACTTTGGTTACAAAATCATCAGAAATTGCAATACATGAATATTAAATGACGCAACAAAACTACGAGAGATTCTGACTAATATTGCCTCCATTGTTGAGCAGCAAAGTTGATTTAGTTTCATAATTTTAATTTTGACAATAATTCCTTTTCCTTCCCTCCTTAACATAAAAAAATATAGAACTACAATCCATTTCGGGACTTCGTTGTGCACCGTATTTCCCCATTACTGTTATTTCCTAGAATTATAGTATGTATCTACTGTTATTAAGAGATCAACGGCAAAAAAAAACAATTAAGTTATAATGAAAGCAAAGCAAAATATGCACCAGTATGTGTAAAATATCAGTAGACCTTTATTTTTTACAAATTGAATAACGTGGCCGGGATAGCCTGGTCGCTGGTCAGTACGGCGCTGGGACCATGACCAAGAGATCGTGGGTTCGATCCTCGCCGGCCGAAGACGGAGTTGAACATTAGTAGTCGTAAACCCAAAATTGGGTCGGCTGTTCAATGACGGATATAAAATATGAAATTGAATAACGCAAGCAGCGATTGCTCAGGGGATAGAGTGTTCGCCTTCCAATGAGGTGAACCGGCGTTCGATCCTGGCGATAGCTGGTCGATAAGAATTCCGAATCCGGCTTGCACCGACCACAGTGCTGGCGTGAAATATCCTCAGTGGTAGACGGATCATGGGTTAGAGTCCCCTTGCCGTCAGGCTAACCGTGGGAGGTTCTCGTGGTCTTTCTCTCCATGTAACGCAAATGCGGGTTAGCTCCATCAAAAAGTCCTCCACGGAGGCAAAACTTTTCCCAATACTCGGCGCAGGAGTTCCCTTGTCTTCTGGATTTGGTTCAAAATTACAAGGCTACGTAGTTGAACATTAGTAGTCGTAAATCCATAAAATTGGGTCGGCTGTTCATCGACAGTTATAAAATAAAAATTGAATAACATGCTGAACATTAGAAGTCGTAAACCCAAAAATTGGGTCGGCTGTTCAACGACGGATATAAAATTGAATAACATGACCGGGATAGCCTGGTTGGTAGGGCAGTGGATCCATGTGCAAGAGTTTTGAACTTGACAATGGCTTCAACTCTTGGCGTAAGCTTGCGAAGTCAGTTCAGAATAAATTTGACACCGAATTAAGGGAAAACAAAAATCATACCTGGGTAATAACAGTCGACGAAGAACTCTCTTTAAGAGAAAAGTTTTGAGAACGATTCATGATGCAGTAAATATCTATGGTACCTGGAGACACAGATACCATAATGATCTGTACAGAATGTAGAGAGACACAGAAATGATCAACTACATTCAGGGCCATTCTCCCAGAATGCAGTTCACGCACTTCTGATCGCCGTCGAGGGAGTGTGAGAACCTGATTGGTGAAAAATATTTTCCTGTGAAAAACTCTCCAACTAGGTTCCAATCTGTGGTGATCGAAAATGTGTGAATCACATTCAGTGAGAATGGCCGTCTGTGTGGAGCACTGGCTACGTTTGGAGTTTCTTCTCCTGGATACGCGGTGTAAAGAGCACAGGAGAAAAACGCCCGGAATTTTAAATAAATGCAACTACCTATTCGATTCGGGATGTTGAACCCGAAATCAGTGTAATTAAATAACTATTTGAACGAAATCAGATATTTCTTTAAAAAATTAGATTAATTTAAAGCTTATGAAAAGGAATTTTTACCATTTTATTCAATTTAAAAACTTTTAGAACTCTCCTGAGGTTCTAAATTTCACTAATTACACATATTGTGCTGTGCTATTGGAAATCGAAATGAGATATTAATGGCACAGAGCAGAATTCTCTCTCTCTCTCTTTGGCATCACTTCGCATACTTTCGCCATTAAGGCGTGGAAAAGCGGCATCCGATATCGACATATCGAAAAATAATAAAATTAAAAGAAAAACAATGCTCACTGGACGATTTCCAAACAGCCATGAAAAAGGAGTTTTTCCTAGAATGAAACAGGCAGAAATTAGAACTTTACTAAAATGTGTGAATACTTTGGACACTAATGTACATTTTGCATCTGTTATTCATTTGCCCCGCAGTGGACTGATCGTAAAGACATGTTTCCCAGTAGAGCACCGAAGTCAAGCATCACTGGCTGCGGTCAGTAACTGAGTGGGAGATCACTTTGATCAGCCTGCGTAAGGACCGAGGGTGGGCGGTTTCGGTTCTCGCTAAACTGTTCAACCGTAAAGTGCTCGACTTCGCGCGTAGATCGTTGGGATAACAATGCACGGGAGGCGTATTGACAAAACATACCGTAGATTGTAAACGCGGCGATTGCAGGTGGAATTGGCGATGGATTACGCGTAAATGTGGTGGGAGAACGAAATTACATTAACCTAAACAGTGTAATTCGATATTCTTTTTCTCCTCCTCGTCTAGCCATAATGAATAAAAATAACTAATTAATTCTTTTTAAAAGAGAATTAAAAAAGAAAATAACCTTTTTATTATCAGGATCACTTTACAAATACACTGTATTCATATTTTATTAAACGTTATAATTTATATTTTATAAAACGATCTAGTTTTTTGATATAACAGATTCAATTTTTTTACAAAAATTGTGTTTGCGAAGAAATAAAAATAATTTACTACTACTGAACCAATCACAAAAAATAACATAACATTTTAATGCTCTGTTTTATTGAAACGCTATTTTGAAGAATTAATTCTATTTAACTTTTATTGTAAGAAAACATAACCTGTTTTATTTTAGTGATATTTTCTATTAAATCAATATTCTCTATAAAAGAATAATGTAAGCTTTTTTATAAAGATTCTTTTTTTAGAAATTAGCAAAGACATATTATTTACTAGAAAAAAAATTAAGTATTCAAAAATGTTATCACGCTTTAAAGTAATAGAGTATATACGAAGTAGTAAACGAATAGAGTAGTAAACGAAGTAATCAATATTTTTAAAATAAAGTTTGAAAGAGTGTTTCATTACTAGAAGCATTCCTTATAAAAAAAATATATTAAATTACTTTTTTTTGCATAATTTTATTAAATAACTTTTTTTTTTTTTGCAATGAGATGAGATCTTAAACTTGAAAAATTGATTCAATTCCTTAATATATATAAAAGTCGGTAAATACTTCATTCATTATGGAGGTCATAGATAACTTGATACCTTTTCAATATAAGAATAATAAATGCAATTAAG